GCCACCGCCGCAAAGCGTCCGTTAAGGTGCCAAGTGTGCGGCAAAGTGTTCGCGAACTAGGGTCATCTGTTCATTCACAAGAATGTCCACGCGGAGGTGAGGCCCTTCGGATGCGACACCTGCGGCAGGCGCTTCAGTCAGAAGGGAAACCTCCTTCGCCACTCGCTCTTGCACACCAACGAGAAGCCCTTCGGATGCGGCGTCTGCAGGAAGTTCTTCGTGCAAAAGGCTCACTTGGTGAAACACGTGGTGGTTCACAGGCAGAGGCTGGCTGCCCTCAAGAGTGTCGGCGGGAGGCGTTGGAGCGAGGGTCCTCCGCTGAGGCCAAGGAGGGCGCCTTCAGGTGCAAGGTCTGCGGATTACAGTTCAGGCGGATTTTCCAGCTGATGGAACACCTGAAGGCCCCAATATTCTCGGAAGGGAAGGAAATAGTACGCCATCTCTCCTTTGTGATAAATGCGTTGGACAAGACCTAGTTGATATGCAGTGGAAAGTATTAAATAAAATTAATTTCATATTAACTATTATCATTTATACATACCATTTTTATTTGCTCTGTTTTGCATAAGACATTATCGTAAGTAATGTACATTGCCGACGCCTGATCTTGCTAACTACTGTAATAATCATTGATGAATAGTGGTGACCCAAAAGCTTTTGATGTATATGATATAGCAAGATGCACTGCTGAAGTCAAATAAATCTGGGCGATTTCCTATAAGATCGCATATATTCCAGACTGGTATTGCACATGCCAGTCTGTGAATAATGCATAGATAATCTGCAGACGAACTTGTGAAGTGAGGGAGTTCCCTCTGAGGAACAACTTGTGTTGGATAGCAGTTAACCCATGGACGCCGCTCATGGCGTTGGGATCTTGTCCTGTTTACCCGTACTGCAATTTTACCCCTTTTTCCGCCTCAATATATGGTGCGTGATATACAATTCATGTTGCCCCCTCACCCCACCCCCTTTCTCTCTTTCTCTCTCTCCATAAAAGTTAAAGATCACGGGTTTTGGTCGATATCAACAATGGAGGTCAGTTTGAATAAGAACCTTGATAAAATTAAGTACTCTTTTTAATCGTTTAAACGCAGCCAAATCTTAAACATGAGGAGAAGGTATGAATAACTTCGGACAAACGACATGTGTGACATTCATATATCTTTCTTATCAGTACTGACAGGTAAGGTGATAATCCAGCGTTTCAATAATATTTATATCTACTCTCAAGTGTCATTCTTTTCAGGCAAATCGTAGTTTATCCGTGAAATTGAAACATCGTCGTAAATATGCTTATAAAGTTGCAAATCATAGAAGCAAACAATTTATAAGAAATATAGTGTATGCACCGAGTCCTTCATAATCAGCTTCAGGGGGAAAAATAAAATTGAGTTATTCTTGCTATCACTCGCAAGCCTCTGTGATAATTATAAACATTGCTATTGTGCCCCTAATGCTTTGTAATCTTATTATGGTAAGAACTAAATCACTACTTTTAACTGTATATGGTAAGGATAGTGCATGTAGAAGCACATTATGTAGTGGACATTACGGAATACTGCTTAATAGTTTTTTTTTTTTGCAGTTCTCATTCTAACAATCATAGCATTATATCTTAGTAAGAACACACGAAACTTTAACATTTTGAGAGTCTGTTGTGTGTGCGTGAACACGGGTATTAAAGGAATAAAGGTTGTCATTCAGGTCACAAAAGTCTAAAAGAAAATAACGGCAATATGAATTTTTGGTTTTTGTTTGAAAGTGTGAAGTCGACCATTAACTTTCTAAAACTCAATTTTGGGCCGCGTGAGTTTTATTTATTATGGCGCAACGAATATTTTCCCATTATATATATATATCGATTCTGTCTGGGGGATACGATGAACATTCGAACTTTTTTTTCTTTTCTTAGCAATTTCAATACAAGAGAACATGTTACATGAGATAAGGTGGAAACCAGAATCGAATAATAAAGAGGAGAAAAAGCGTTTAGAGTCGGCATTCTACGATGTTCACGAAAAGCTAAGAACAAATAAGAATTTGGTTTACTTCGCTATTTCAAACATTCTCATTCTTTAGATGGAAAAGAATGTCATGATTGATTACCTTTTCTAACCAGACCGAGTCCCCTTCACAGTGACTTGTTCAAAGCCGCGCGTTCCCACCCCTCAGGGTCACGTGAAGGCTCCCTATATAACTTTTAGATCAGATAGAAAGCCATCAGTTGTTTCACAGATTCCAGGATGAGTCGCAAGTCCCAAGCCACCGCCCAAAGCTCCTTCAAGTGCCAAGTGTGCGGCAAAGTGTTCGGCCAACAGGGTCATCTCTTCATTCACAAGAATGTCCACGCGGAGGTGAGGCCCTTCGGATGCGACACCTGCGGCAGGCGCTTCAGTCAGAAGGGAAACCTCCTTCGCCACTCGCTCTTGCACACCAACGAGAAGCCCTTCGGATGCGGCGTCTGCAGGAAGTTCTTCGTGCAAAAGGCTCACTTGGTGAAACACGTGGTGGTTCACAGGCAGAGGCTGGCTGCCCTCAAGAGGTGTCGGCGGAGGGAGGCGTTGGAGCGAGGGTCCTCCGCTGAGGCCAAGGAGGGCGCCCTCAGGTGCAAGGTCTGCGGATTACAGTTCAGGCGGATTTTCCAGCTGATGGAACACCTGAAGGCCCAGCATATTCTCGGAAGGGAAGGGAAATAGTACGCCATCTCTCCTTTGTGATAAATGCGTTGGACAAGACCTAGTTGATATGCCAGTGGGAAAGTATTAAATAAAATTAATTTCATATTAACTATTATCATTTATACATACCATTTTTATTTGCTCTGTTTTGCATAAGACATTATCGTAAGTAATGTACATTGCCGACGCCTGATCTTGCTAACTACTGTAATAATCATTGATGAATAGTTGGTGACCCAAAAGCTTTTGATGTATATGATATAGCAAGATGCACTGCTGAAGTCAAATAAATCTGGGCGATTTCCTATAAGATCGCATATATTCCAGACTGGTATTGCACATGCCAGTCTGTGAATAATGCATAGATAATCTGCAGACGAACTTGTGAAGTGAGGGAGTTCCCTCTGAGGAACAACTTGTGTTGGATAGCAGTTAACCCATGGACGCCGCTCATGGCGTTGGGATCTTGTCCTGTTTACCCGTACTGCAATTTTACCCTTTTTCCGCCTCAATATATGGCGTGATATACAATCATTGTTGCCCCCTCACACCACCCCCTTTCTCTCTTTCTCTCTCTCCATAAAAGTTAAAGATCACGGGTTTTGGTCGATATCAACAATGGAGGTCAGTTTGAATAAGAACCTTGATAAAATTAAGTACTCTTTTTAATCGTTTAAACGAAACTAATTCTTAGACATGCGGGGAAGGTATGAATAATCGGGCAAACGACATGTGTGATATTCATATATCTTTCTTATCAGTACTGACAAGTAAAGGTGATAATCCAGCGTTTCAATCATTTTATATCTACTCTCAAGTGTCATTCTTTTCTGGTAAATCGTAGTTTATCCTTGAAATTGAAGCATCAAGTCGAAAATGTAAAGTGGCAAATGATAGATGTAAACAATTCATAAGAAATATAGCGTATGTACCGAGTCCTTCATAATCAGCTTCATGAAAACAAAAAGTTTAAAATTGAATTACACGGTGTCAGTCGCAAGCCTCTATGATAGTTAACATTGCTATTGTGTCCCTAATCCTCTGTAATCTTATTATGATAACTAAATCACTACTTTTAACTGTATACGGTATGGATAGTGCATATATAAGTGGACACATTACTGAATACTGTTTGATAGGGATTTTTTTCTGTAGTTCTCATTATAACAATCATAGCATTATGTCCTAGTAGGAACACACGAAACATTGACATTTTGAGTGTATTGTGTGCGTGAACACATGGGTATCACAGGAATAAAGGTTGTCATTCAGGTCACAAAAACTCTAAAAGGAAATAACGGCAATATGAATTTTTGTGAAGTCGACCATTAACTTTCTAAAACTCAATTTTGTGCCGCGTGAGTTTTATTTGTTATGGCGCAACGAATATTTTCCCATTATATATATTGATTCTGCCGGGGGGTACGATGAACTATCGAACTTTTTTTCTTTTCTTGGCAATTTTATTTCTAGAGAACATGTTACATGAGGCAAGGTGGAAATCAGAATCGAATAATAATGAGGAAGAAAAAGCGTTTATATTCGGCATTCTAAGAATCTCACGAAAAGAATTCGGTTTGATTCGCTATTGTAAACATCCTCTTTCTTTAGATGGAAAGGTAATCTGTTGAATTGATTACTTTTTTCTAACCAGACCGCGTCCCCTTCACAGTGCCTTATTCCAGGCCCCATTCCCACTCTTCAAGGTCACGTGAAGGCTCCCTATATAACCTTCAGATCAGACAGAAAGCCATCAGTTGTTTTCCAGATTCCAGGATGAGTCGCAAGTCCCAAGCCACCGCCCAAAGGTCCTTCAAGTGCCAAGTGTGCGGCAAAGTGTTCGGCCAACAGGGTCATCTGTTCATTCACAAGAATGTCCACGCGGAGGTGAGGCCCTTCGGATGCGACACCTGCGGCAGGCGCTTCAGTCAGAAGGGAAACCTCCTTCGCCACTCGCTCTTGCACACCAACGAGAAGCCCTTCGGATGCGGCGTCTGCAGGAAGTTCTTCGTGCAAAAGGCTCACTTGGTGAAACACGTGGTGGTTCACAGGCAGAGGCTGGCTGCCCTCAAGAGGTGTCGGCGGAGGGAGGCGTTGGAGCGAGGGTCCTCCGCTGAGGCCAAGGAGGGCGCCCTCAGGTGCAAGGTCTGCGGATTACAGTTCAGGCGGATTTTCCAGCTGATGGAACACCTGAAGGCCCAGCATATTCTCGGAAGGCTCGACAAATAGGACGCGTGGTACCCCTAGTTGATATGCCAGTGGAATAAATGTTAATTATATCAAATTAACCATTATCACATTTCATTTATGTTTGCTCTTTTTCGCATGAGTGTGGCACACAATATCTTAAGTAATGTATATTGCCGACGCCTGATCTTGCTACCGTAATAATCATGGATGAATAGTTGGTGACCCAAAAGCTTTTGATACTCAAATTCTATTATCTAGGAAGCTAAGTTGTAATTAGATGCTAGGTTGTAATCATTCTTCAAGAATGAATTACATTACGTGGAATTTGAATACACGCATACTATTGACATGAAAAAAATACCAATACAGTATAGCAGAGAATTCATGTTCAGTATTAAACTACCAGTATTTACGACCAATAAGAATTCTCGCATAAAAAATCACGTCAAATAAATCGAGCATATATATTTCATGATACATATATGATATATGCATCATAAATGATATATGTATCATAAATGATATATGTATCATAAATGATATATGCATCATAAATGATATATGCATCATAAATGATATATGCATCATAAATGATATATGCATCATAAATGATATATATGCATCATAAAATGATATTGCATCATAAATGATATATGCATCATAAATGATATATGCATCATAATGATATATGCATATATGATATATGCATCATAAATGATATCATCATAAATGAATATGCATCATAAATGATACATATATTATATATGATACATATACCATGTTTATCGTATGTGATATATGTTACATATATCATATTTGTTGTATATGATATACGATATAGCAAGATGCACTGCTAAAGTGTTTAAGTCAAATAAATCTGGGCGATTTCTTAAAAGATCGCATATATTCCAGACTGGTATTGCACATGCCAGTCTGTGAATAATGCATAGTTAATCTGCAGACGAGCTTGTGAAGGGAGTTCCCTCTGAGAAAAAAATAATAAGCTGGAAGCTGTTTAGGTCGATATCAACAATGTAGGTCAGTTTGAATAAGAACCTTGATAAAATTAAGTACTCTTTTAGTCGTTTAAACGCAACCAATTCTTAAACATAAGGGGAAGGTATGAATAACTTCGGACAAACGACATGTGTGACATTCATATTTCTTTCTTATCAGTACTGACAGGTAAAGGTGATAATCTACTCTCAAGTGTCATCCTTTTCAGGCAAATCGTAGTTTATCCTTGAAATTGAAGCATCAAGTCGAAAATGTATTTATAAAGTGGCAAATGATAGATGTAAACAATTCATAAGAAATATAGCGTATGTACCGAGTCCTTCATAATCAGCTTCATGAAAACAAAAATAGTTTAAAATTGAATTACACGGTGTCAGTCGCAAGCCTCTATGATAGTTAACATTGCTATTGTGTCCCTAATCCTCTGTAATCTTATTATGATAACTAAATCACTACTTTTAACTGTATACGGTATGGATAGTGCATATATAAGTGGACACATTACTGAATACTGTTTGATAGGGATTTTTTTCTGTAGTTCTCATTATAACAATCATAGCATTATGTCCTAGTAGGAACACACGAAACATTGACATTTTGAGTGTATTGTGTGCGTGAACACATGGGTATCACAGGAATAAAGGTTGTCATTCAGGTCACAAAACTCTAAAAGGAAATAACGGCAATATGAATTTTTGTTTTTTGTTAGAAAGTGTGAAGTCGACCATTAACTTTCTAAAACTCAATTTTGTGCCGCGTGAGTTTTATTTGTTATGGCGCAACGAATATTTTCCCTTTATATATATCGATTCTGCCGGGGGATACGATGAACTATCGAACTTTTTTTCTTGGCAATTTTACTACATGAGAATATGCTACATGAGATAAGGTGGAAACCACAATTGAATAACAAAGAGGAAGAAAAAGCGTTTATAGTCGGCATTCTAAGATTTTCACGAAAAAAGTTTAGTTTGCTTCGCTATGTTAAACATTCTCTTTCTTTAGATGGAAAAAAAAATATCTATTATGTGTGATTACTTTTTAACCAGACCGCGTCCCCTTCACAGTGTCTTATTCCAGGCCGCGTTATATAGGGAGCCGCGTGAAGGCTCCCTATATAACTTTCAGATCAGACAGAAAGTCATCAGTTGTTTCCCAGATTCCAGGATGAGTCGCAAGTCCCAAGCCACCGCCCAAAGCTCCTTCAAGTGCCAAGTGTGCGGCAAAGTGTTCGGCCAACAGGGTCATCTGTTCATTCACAAGAATGTCCACGCGGAGGTGAGGCCCTTCGGATGCGACACCTGCGGCAGGCGCTTCAGTCAGAAGGGAAACCTCCTTCGCCCACTCGCTCTTGCACACTAACGAGAAGCCCTTCGGATGCGGCGTCTGCAGGAAGTTCTTCGTGCAAAAGGCTCACTTGGTGAAACACGTGGTGTTGGAGCGAGGGTCCTCCGCTGAGGCCAAGGAGGGCGCCCTCAGGTGCAAGGTCTGCGGATTACAGTTCAGGCGGATTTTTCCAGCTGATGGAACACCTGAAGGTCCAGCATATTCTCGGAAGGCTCAACAAATAGGACGCGGAGTACCCCATCTCTCCTTTGCAGGTAATTGATATGCCAGTGGAAAAAATATTTAATAAAATTATTTCAAACTATCTTCACATTTCATATACATTACACTGTATCGTAAGTAATGTACATTGCCGACGCCTGATCTTGCAAACTACCGTAATAATCATGGATGAATAGTTGGTGACCCGAAAGCTTTTCATACACAAATTCTATTTTCTAGGAAGCTAGGTTGTCATTAGATGCAGTACTCAATTTTATTCTGCAAGAATGAATTACATTACGTAGAACTTGAAAACACGCATGCTATTGACATGAATAAATACCAAAACAGTATAGCAGAGAATTCATGTTCTGTATTTAACTACCAGTATCTACGACAAATGAGAATAATCGCATAAAAATGACGTAATACTTTTTGAATTTAAGTTCTAGCATATATTATATATGATACATATATGATATATGCATCCTATGTGATATATGTATCATATATTATATGATACATATACCATAATTGTTGTATGTGATATATGCATCATATATATGTATCATATATATTATATATGATACATATACCATGTTTATCGTATGTGATATATGTTACATATATCATATTTGTTGTATAGGATATACGATGTAGCAAGATGCAATGCTAAAGTGTTGAAGTCAAATAAATCTGGGTGATTTCTTAAAAGATCGCATATATTCCAGACTGGTATTGCACATGCCAGTCTGTGAATAATGCATAGCTAATCTGCAGACGAGCTTGTGAAGTGAGGGAGTTCCCTCTGAGGAACAACTTGTGTTGGATAGCAGTTAACCCATGGACGCCGCTCATGGCGTTGGGATCTTGTCCTGTTTACCCGTACTGCAATTTTACCCCTTTTTCCGCCTCAATATATGGTGCGTGATATATACAATTCATTGTTGCCCCCTCACCCTACCCCCTTTCTCTCTTTCTCTCTCTCCATAAAAGTTAAAGATCACGGGTTTTGGTCGATATCAACAATGGAGGTCAGTTTGAATAAGAACCTCGATAAAATTAAGTACTCTTTTTAATCGTTTAAACGCAACTAATTCTTAGACATACGGGGAAGGTATGAATAACTTCGGAGAAACGACATGTGTGATATTCATATATCTTTCTTATCAGTACTGACAAGTAAAGGTGATAATCCAGCGTTTCAATCATTTTATATCTACTCTCAAGTGTCATTCTTTTCTGGTAAATCGTAGTTTATCCTTGAAATTGAAGCATCAAGTCGAAAATGTATTTATAAAGTGGCAAATGATAGATGTAAACAATTCATAAGAAAATATAGCGTATGTACCGAGTCCTTCATAATCAGCTTCATGAAAACAAAAATAGTTTAAAATTGAATTACACGGTGTCAGTCGCAAGCCTCTATGATAGTTAACATTGCTATTGTGTCCCTAATCCTCTGTAATCTTCTTATGATAAGAACTAAATTACTACTTTTAACTGTATACGGTATGGATAGTGCGTATATAAGTGGACACATTACAGAATACTGCTAAATAGGTTTTTTCTGCAGTTCTCATTATAACAATCATAGCATTATATCTTAGTAAGAACACACGAAACTTTGACATTCTGAGTCTGTTGCGTGTGCGTGAACACATGGGTATAGCAGAAATAAAGGTCCAAAAGCTCTAAAATATAATTTGAATTTTTGTTTTTTGTTGGAAAGTGTGAAGTCGACCATTAACTTTCTAAAACTCAATTTTGCGCCGCGTGAGTTTTATTTGTTATGGCGCAACGAATATTTTCTCGTTATATATATATATATATATATATATATATATATATATATATATATATATATATATATATATATATATATATATATATCGATTCTGCCGGGGAGATACGATGAACTTCTTTCTTTTCTTTGTAATTTTACTACAAGAGAACATCCTACATGAGATAAGGTGGAAACCAGAATTAAATAATTAAAGCTTGAGCTGGAAGGCCGTTAACCCGTTAAAAGTACTCTTTTAGTCGTTTAAACGCAACCAATTCTTAAACATGAGGGGAAGGTATGAATAACTTCGGACAAACGACATGTGTGACATTGATATTTCTTATCAGTACTGACAAGTAAAGGTGATAATCCAGCGTTTCAATAATTTTTATATCTACTCTCAAGTGTCATTCTTTTCAAGCAAATCATAGTTTACCCGTGAAACTGAAACATCAAGCCGTAAATATACTTGCAAAGTTGCAAATCATAGAAGCAAATAATTTACTAAAAATAAAGTGTATGTACCGAGTCCTTCATAATCAGCTTCATGAAAAAATAAATAAAATTGAGTTATTCTTGCTATCACTCGCAAGCCTCTGTGATAATTATAACATTGCTATTGTGTCCCTAATGCTTTGTAATCCTATTATGGTAAGAACTAAATCACTACTTTTAACTGTATATGGTA